ACTTGAGAAGACGTCTCACTTAGCATAACGCTTCTGACAGCATTTCTGACATTTGTTACTCTGCAAGGACGCTTCCACTGAGGAATGACACAACCATATCACGTACCCTCGAAACCTGACTGTATCACCTACATTACTAACCACACCATCTCACCCCCTATTGGATAGATATTTTATCGTCCCTCAAGAGATTACCCTTAAGGGACTTCCAAAAATTGCCCATTAGCTCCAGAGATTGCTGCGTCAACATCCAATCTCCAGATGGGCTCAAATCAGATACTTATCTGCAGCCATTATATGGCTGGGCAATCGCTTAATTCTCCATGTGAGGGGCCGACGGATGCACACAACATTTGATCATATGTATAAACTGTTGCAGTCATTAAGCGGTTTGAAATGAGCATATGAGCATAGAATAAGAGAACGAGAGAAAGTCTTTCGATCTAATCATTGCTGAACTGGAACAACAATATTGTTTGCAGTGAGGTGAAAATTGCGATTTATTTTGCTTTTTTATTTCGCAAATGTGTCATTTCCGCCTGCTTGACTACCTTTCGAACTCTGCTCAGATCATCTTTTCACGCACACACGGAAATGACGTGTGACGCAGGCAATTCACACTGCTTCTGTATATTTTTACACGTTGCCTTGCATCAACTCACATTCAACCCTTCTTTGCTTGAATGGAGAAACTGTTTAATTATTGTTCAACCTTTGGCATGGAAAACTGAATTTTGTACTGTTTATTTTCATGGTGTTACTTTTCAGATTGTTTGCTATTAATTTGATACTCTTTGAATAAATCTAATTATTTATTACAAGTTACCAGATAAAATTTTTAAAAATAGCTGAAAATAAATTATCGTACTTCGAGACCTGGTGGAGCTCGACTTGTTCGTATTAATTCAGCTGCACGTTCTGTTCGCACACGCGCTCGTCGATAAGCTTGAATTTTATCTTTATATGAAGATACGTAGATACTGAGTGGTATCTCACGTGCTTTGAAGTGCTCACGTTTGTTCCAGTCAGACGTTTCTGCACTTACGCATCGTCGTAAATGAAAGCTTTTTGATTCTGACCACCCAATCATCCGTGGTAAATGTGATTTTTTTAACATTTCTTCAGCTCTTCGATGGCGTTCTTCACGAGCCTGTTTCAAAAGAATTCACGTAATAAAACCATTGCCTTTTTAATTATTTATCTAATAAATGTATTAAAAAATCGTTTTGCTGTTGTTTTCGTTTGTCAATTTTGAGAATTTAATCACACTCGAGCTTTATTTTAAGACCTTCTCTTGTTTTTCACAAAGTAGTCGATAGCGTGGTTCATACGTGGACTGTGGTACTTCACGTGGTTTAATCCTGAAAATTTTAATTGCATTAATATTGAAAAAGCAGTATAGTGAAGAAATCTCAGTTCTAAAATCTTTAATCACATTAAGGCTTGATAATAAAAGAAACCACAATTCTTATACAAAACTTTTCTGTTGTGATTTTTCTATTTATCAGCAAAAATTCATACGGAATTTGCATATTTTCGTTGGATTCTTTCATATCTTCTACTTGCTTTCCAATAATTTCCTTCACGCAACGTTGTGCATAATTCGTTTGAATTGAATTCCTTTTTTGTTTTTTAAATAAGTAAATTTTTCATTTTTTTATTTTGCTAATAATTTTGTATACAAATATCTGAAAGGCACTGATAATTCTATAATTTTTCTTTACTTTACGTCATTTTCATATGACTAAACGTATGAAAAAGTATAAGTAAGTAAAAATTAGATATAAAAATTGGATGCGTAAAATTATTTAATGATAATAAATTTAAAATTAAGTACCTTGTTTTCTTCGTTTTGAAACTCACGATGTGGGGTACCCATTTTTCGATAAATTTTATTTTTCGCTGCTCGTACCATTTATCTTCTGTTGTGGTCTTCACTGATGACTGCAAGAAGTTTGAATGAAACCCGTTCTGACCCCACGTTTGGATCGCTCTTCTATCATCTTCTCCTCCTGATTTGGTACTCGGATCACTGTTATAAGTGACTTCTCCATCACTTGTATTAGTTGAATCACAATTACGATTACCAATCCAAGTTAAACTTTTTCTATCTGAATTACAATAAAACGTTCATATAAGCTGCATTTTATAACATAAATTAAATTTAATTAGTTGCACAAATTATCAGACGGAAGGCTTGAAACAAAACGGTCATGAATTATTTGCATAAGATAATTAAGTGTACTTGCACAGTGCGTGAGCTCATTGCACTGCAATTTCTGTTTTTCAAACGGAATTTGAAGCTCATTTTCGACCGCTGAAACTTCACGGCATGATAAGTCCACAAGTTTGTCAATTTCAGCAAATGTCTCTTTGTGCTTCTGACGTAGTGCCATCAAAAACTTCATGAATTTTGGGTCTTCCAAGCGTTTTTGATCCTAGAGAGTATGCATTATTTACTCGAGATAAAAATTTAATTTTTACGCAAAAAACTTGTTTCTTAAATTTACACTCAGACAAGGTTTTCATCAATTTCGTACTAAAATTCAATCAAAAATTTATGATTTTATAAATGAAAATGACATTTGACCTGTAAAACTGTAAATAAAAATTGGTCTGTAACATCTAGCGCTCGTTCTATTTTTTCCATTTCTTTCTTTTTTTGGCTTTTCGTCACAGTGCGAACAAAAATATTCTAAAAGCATAAAAAACACTGTAGAACGAGTAAGTACACGTAAAAGACTTTTGAATTGATATGAGAAGAGATTTGTCATAAAATACAAATAGCTAATAATAAGAATGAATGAATGAGCTTGAAAAAATAGATAAGACACAGTTTAAGAATTTGTATTCAAACGATTAATCTTACTGTAATATTTTTTGAAGCTTTTATTTAGCAGAGTATTAATAAATTTATTCAAAGAAGTATCTGTGACGGTTTAATAAAGCAATCGAAAGCTTTAATGACATGAAAATATTCATAAATATAAAGTAAATTAGCGCAATCCTTGAAATCAAGCCATTACTTGCTTAGTTAGTAAAGGATTTAAGATTTTGACCATGAAAAAGCTCTGTATAATTAAGGAATGAATAATTACTTTGAAAAAACAAAAAATGTTTCTCCGAAATTTGCCTTTTTTTTCGAATATAAAACTGCATAAAATTAAAAATAGCTATCAGAAGATTGAAAATTTCATTTTCACTCGCTGTTTTTAATACTATTACGACAGAATTTGCATACATTTAAATAAAAATCAAAGAAGTCAATAAATACGTATGAATTTTGTTTTAGTTAAGATCTGTGCAAAAAAAGTTGTAAGTGGACATTGAAGATATACGGTGACTGCAGCTGCTATCAACCGTTACCGTGGTGACCACTAACTTATTATCATCATTTATTCAATATTCATTCTTGCAGTCCATAGCAATTCTCGATTACTGCACTGTTTATGAAGAATTATGATTCTCATAAATCCATAATTGCTATAAAAAATGAAGCTTGCAAGCATTAAAGGAAAGCATACCACCGCAAAATGATTAGCAGGCGTTTTGAAAGTATATATAATCAAATTGGAAGTCATTCTGAACTTTCACTAAATCTGAATATTTTAGCTTTAAAAGTAAATTTGTTTTTAATTTCAGATGGATATTTGCTTGAAAATTTATCACAGTTTCATTTAGCAGCAACCTGATTTTTATTAACAAAAATATGCAACTTTGCTATAAGAATTATCGTTTTCTTCAAAAAATGCCAAGTAGAAAATTATCATACAAAGCAAAAAATTCTCTTTGTTGATACTTCGTAAACTGTAACTTTCTTACTGTACTAAGTAATGTTCGCTACTGTTTGCACTATCTGTGCAAAATATGTGCAGTGCAGTTGCACATTATTAAATAAGCTACAAAATTCGCACTTACTCATGTATTGAATCTGCACAAAAACATATACAAAAAGTAATGATAAAGATTTTTGCTGTTAAAATTACCAAGGATGTTACTAAACAAGCAAGCTATTTGCTGACTCGCCAAAGTATCAAAAAAATGAATCGAAAATTTCGGATGAGTTTATTTTTTATGCTTAAAAATAATATTTAAATTTTAGTAAAAATTATCGCTCTGTAAATATCCATTATCTCAGTAATATGAGTACAAAGTGTTGTTTGTGTAAGGCAGATTTTCATTCCACTGATGGAATACTTGCCATTTGCTAGTATTTTATTTTCGAACATTTTAAGTCAACAAGTAATTCTGTTTTTTATTTCTAATGGGAGTTAGAGGTCAAATATTAAGTGTCAGATACTAAATGTTTGTTCTAAAGTAATGCAT